CTAGAACATGGCCACACAGCCCGAAAAACCCACAAAAAACTAAAAAATCTGTGTGCAATTTGAAACCCCGATAGTGAAGAGGTCTAAATCATAAAGAGAGTCTGTTTGCATATATCAACCCTCCCCTCTTCTGGACTTGATTCCCAGTTTGGATGGCAACAAGACAGTAGAGCTGGAAACTGCTGCAGCCTTTCTTAGCTTGTGTGTTCTTCCTCTTTAATAACTTTTGCTGCTTTGACCACATTCTGAGACTGCTTGGCCATGCATCTCACAGCTATATCTGTGAAATGTTGGAGACTAGGCAGGGTACAATACATAAATACAATACAATACAATACAATAAAAGGTCCTCCTTTCCCAGGACATGTCTTACATTCCAACCTTCTGTCCAGGAGGAATATTAAAGTGTCCTCCAGGCTGAGCATGACTAAAACATGAAGTCACATTTATATTAGTGTTTTGGCTTTTATTTGGTAGCGTCCTACATTTTGCGCTACATTTTGCGGTGCCTTTGCTGTCATGACTGCTGGTCACCCTGTGTGTATGATGCATGATTATCCCACCCGCTGTCCCTTTTCTCCTCTGACTTGGAGGCTACAGTATTAATGGCCAAGAAGAGTGCTGAGTCAGATTTGCAAGAATATTGGCATAGTCTGCAGAAGAAAGGAATGCCGCATCATCACTATCATATGGATGTGAGCCTTGCTGCAGCTTGCTGCTAAAGTACTGAGTCCTTGCTCACTGCAATTTTGCTTGAATGTAAAGGGAGTCGTTGAGGAGGGAGGTGCATCCCAGTACAGGAGTTAGTAGTACCTAACCTAACCAGTGACAAAAAGACCTTAATCTGATTCTCAAAGTGGAAAAGAAAAATAGGAGAAGAATGGGATACTGCCACTCCAGAGAAGAAAAGAGTTTCAGCTACAAGGGTAAGAGCATAATTTCAATCATGCAAAAGAAATAGCTTGAGAAGATTCGGATGCAGTTCTAAATGTCAGTTACTGGCAAGTAAATCCCAATGAATTAGTGTGGCTTGCTTCTGAATAAACTTGTTCTTCACATAATTTGTGACATAAATGCAAACTCAGCACCAAAAGAAAGAGAAAGAGAGAGAGAGAGAGAGAGAGCACTTTAAAATGGTTAGCTGTTAAATTTTTAGAAGGACTGCTGAATTTTGAAAAATAACATCACCTAATTTAAAGTTAAATATCTACATTAAATCTGTTTAAAGGACTGTGCCCCTTGAATGAACAAGGGTTATGTTTCTTAATTGTCAACTGCTTTTACACTGTATTCTATTTATTCTTTTAAAAAATCTTCTTGAAAGTCAATGTCACAGTACTAGCAGGTGACTTTGGGTTACCTGAGGCAACTGTGCTCTGGTGCACTACAGAAACTCACACAGCTGACTCAGGTCTCAAGCCATGATGAACCCACTTAATCAACAATGGGGATCATGCAGCGGTCCAGAAGTTATTTGACTGCAACTCCCAGCATTCCTTTGCATTAGTTATGCTGGCAAGAGCTATTGGGGCATGCAGTCTGACAACTTCTGGAAGGGTATGCGATTCCCATCCCTGCACTAAATGGATCAATGCCTTCCCGATGTATTGTACTGCACTCAAGTGTGCAATGTTTTCAGGCCCAAAGACCACATCTGATCTTCACAGGGATTTCAGGGGCAGCAAGAATGTTCATGTGCATTCACAGAGAGAGAGGATGTGTGGGGAAGCTTTTCTCATGTCCTCATGCCTACAACCCAGTGCAAGATCACAGGGGTCTGTGGGAGATTTTTTCAGCAGGAGGGGACTAATGCCTTTTCTCTCTGCACTCCTACACAGAACTGCTTTTTTTGCATTATAGTGGAGAAGGAAGAGATTTAGCTTCCTCCTTCCAACAGTGATGCATGCTGGCTGCCTTAGAGTCACTCCCGCTAAAGTCTTCTCCATTTGCTGTCCTATTTGTGTGCCTTCAAATCATTCCAACATATGGTCACCCTAAGGTGAACCTACCATGGGATTTTCTTGGCACGTTTCTTCAGAGGGGGGTTGCCATTGCCTTCATCTGAGGCTGAGAGAGTGTGACTTGCCCAAGGTCACCCAGTGGATTTCCATGGCCGAACCAGAAATTGAACCCAGGTCTTCAGAATCATAGTCCAGTGCTCAAACCACTACACCATGCTGGCTCAGAAATACCGCTGCCCCAATTTGGCCAGAATAGTCCTGATTAATCCTCTCTTGCCCCACTTTTAAAGTTACTTTTAAAGTGTCATAGACTGCTTCCACACTGCAGAATTAATGCAGTTTAACATGTCTTTAACTGTCATGCTTCTATCCTATGGAGTTCTGGGATCTGTAGTAGTCTATTCTGTTGAAAGATAATTGGAACATATCCATCAGCATTTTACAGATGAAAACTAGGACACTTATGTCAAAGCAACATCAAGATGTGCTCAGGAGGTCAAGCTGGCAAAACAAATTAATGAGCAAAAACACACAAGTTTGCAGCATTTGAAGTAAGTTGAGGACAAAGGAAGAGGAGAGAGAAACTGTGACATTTTAAAAGCAGTTGGAAAAACAGGACAACAGAGGATTAATTGGGACTGTCCCTGCCAAATCAAAACAGTTGGAGGAAATGTGGATATTGTAGAGAAGCTGAACTATGTAACTCAATTCTTATTCGTTTGTGTTAAAATGTTATTCATTCATTCATTTCATTATTTCCACTGTTACTGTTTAAAACAGGGTATCCTAATTCATGAGCCATTAAGCTAAACAAAACTTAAATCAGAAAGAAGAAAAGTAAAGACAGTTAATGAGTATTTGGAGATCCTATCCTGCCAGAAAAAACAAATTTGAAGTCAGCCACGAGAAAATTATACACCAAGCCAGTAGGTAAAGAGCACACCATATCTGGAAAACGTGGCAAGAGCTCAACATGGCCTCTGTGCGAGAGGTATCCAGTTTCACTGAGGATCTGCTGTGTCCCATCTGCCTCTCCATCTTTCGGGACCCTCACATGTTGGAGTGTGGCCACAGTTTCTGCGCTCCATGCCTTGAGCCCTGCATCCCCAAGGGCCAAAGGCGTGGGCTTTGCCCTGAATGCCGTCGACCATTTGCCTTACGCCACATGGCCATCAACCGAGCTCTGTGCAGCCTGGCAGAGAAGGCCCGGCTTCTTAAATTGGATGAAGGCCCTCAACTTGGAGGGACCGGAGGCTGGTATTTCTGTGAAGAACACGAGGAGCCTCTCAAACTCTTCTGCAGCCAAGATGAGGGACCAGTCTGTGTCATCTGTCGGGACCTGCCTCAGCACCGTGGACATGACTTCTTGCCCATCAAAAATGCAGTTCAGGCTTATCAGGTGAGAGACAGGAATGCTCTAGTTTTGGTACAATGGATCTGGGACCTGGTGGTTGAAATCAGAAGATTTCAATGAGGGTTGGTTCTCTTCTGAGGGGACATAGGGGTGCGGTGTCAGGATGGTGTCAGGGTGGAGTTGGGGCAGCTGGCATGTGGCTGCCCTACCCCAACTCTACCCCCAGACCAGCCCTTTAGGCCAGTCTGCAACGCCCCTAAGAAGCAAAACAGACAGTCAAAATAAGCAGGTTTCCGGCTGGCTTCAAGGCAGGGCATTTAGATGACGCAAGCCTCAAACCTGGCCAGAAAGCACACCCAAGCTGCCCTACAGGGAGAAAAGTCAGACTAAAAAGGAGCTAGATTTTTCTGCTTCTTCCTCCAAAGTCTGCACCTTTGCATGTGCACTGATGCCAGGGCAGCTCTAAAGGGGCGCCCTTTCCAAACCCCATCCGTAATTGTGCATGTAAACATCCCATTGCAAGAGTGCATTTGAAAGGGACAGAGCTGCCGTACCCAAGCGGTGAGGGTGGAAATGCCCAAAAGAGAAACTGTGACACCTCTAATATAACATACACAAAACAGACAAAGAAGGGGCATGGGGTCAAGGGGGGCATGATTGTACTTTGCTGGTATCTGCATGGGCACACCTCTGTCTCGGTGGAGCGCTGCACATGTGACTGTGGCCAGCCAATGGGATGGCAGTTGCTGGCAATTTACTCCTGCAAAGGTGGGCAGGGATGGTGAGGGGAACAGTAAAAAAAAAAAAAAAAAAGGAACCAGTGGCACAGCTTCAAGCTGCGCTATGTGGTCATGACATGCGCACTACAGCTGCCTTGGGAGTGGGCGGTGTGGTTGGTGGGGTTTCAGTGTGGCTTCAGAAAAGGCAGCTTCAAGCTGCTTTTTCTTGCCTGTCTTTTTTGCCCCCAAATGGCCTATAGGCTGGAGGGAGACATAGGGGGACTGCAGATGGGTGGCACAGAGCTGTCCCAGGAAGCGGCAGATTGGGGCCATGGCAACCCCACACAGCGGCCCTGATCCTCCCTTTTGCCACCCCGTAAAGAGCGGCAAAAAGTTGCCTTAAGAGCTGGCGAGTGGCTCTTCAGTGCCCTTTCTGGTGCAGCGCGCCAGAACACTGCACCAGGAGGGCATCCTGATGCAATGCACCATGCGTAACAGCACACGGCGTCAGGACAGTGTCAGCGTGGGGTTGGGGCGGCTGGCATGTGACTGCCCTGCCCCAACTCTGCCTCCAGGCCAGCCCTTTGGGGCGGTCTGCAGAGGCTCATGGCTTCTCAGTAGTGCTGTTGGGTTGTAAAACTCCATTCCAAGATTGACCAATCCAATGGTGACTTCACCCCATTATCCTACTTTCAGCAGGTAGCTAACGTTTTATTCAGAATGGCTATTGTTAATTCAGGATAGACTTTTAACAAGTCACTCCTCTCCTTTTTAACTGATGTTCCTGTAAAACTGCTTTTAATTCAGCCATGTTGTGACATTGTAATTTGCTTAAATGTATTTTAATGTTTGTTTATTTTGTTTGGTTGTTTTTATTTGTGTCTGTGTTTTTTAAAAATTTGTGAGCCTCCCCAAATCCCAGTTTTGGAGATAAGTGGGCTGCAAATCAAAGCAAATAAATAAAGGCTGAGATCCTTCATCAAACACATAGCCATGATGTCAAAGCTTTGATTTCCCATTCAACCCATTCAACCCACCTTAAAAGCCAGTCAGATGTCTGGGATGACAGATGTCTGTTCTGATAGCAAGCAGGGGACTGCAAGATGACATGATCAGCCTTCTCCCACCAGCAAGTGAGGCTGCAATGAAAAGTTGTGACAGGTCCCCACTGGCCTCTCTGCTTTGCTTGTCAGCAGAAAGGGGCTGCTCACATCATCCTGCAGTGCCCCACTTGCGAGTATCAGAAACCTTAACTGATCTCAATGGCCAGCTGGTTTTTAAGCTGTGTTTCAGGATCATTTATGGCTGTGGCAAAATGTATCCAAAGTTTTCTCATGCATTAACACAGCCAGTTTATTCATCTCTACTAAATCATATCATTTCAACAACCAATCTTCTTGTGATGGGATTGTCAACTCCTTCCATCTTTGTGCCTAACTCATTCTAGCAGGAGTTGTCATATATTGTAGTATTCTTCCACGAGTCTTCTCCAAATGATCAGTTAAATGTCATAATCCAACTGTCATGGCCAGCCCTGAGGAGGACTCGGAGGAGGAGGAGGAGGATG